CACGTTTGTGCATATATGAGAGAAAGTAGATGACAGATTTCAATGAAATTGATACTGCGTTATTTTTTTATTAATACCTATCTTTTCCTAACTTTGAGACAAATCGAACGAAATATATTGAAATATTGGCATATCTAAATAAATACGTTTACACGTGCGTCCTCTGGATGAAATTTGAGAAAATTGATATGGGACCATCTAGACATCGACCCGCACAATCCCTGAAAATTTCATAAAAATCGGATAACCGGTAGTAGGTGATATGACCGTTAAATCGATTTGACTACAGACAGACAGACGCAGGGGTATTATTCTATTCTAAAATTAAATGTCCATGCAGCTACAGAAGATATTATATCAGCACAAAAAAATAAACTATTTTGCAAATTAAAATTAATTAAAAAATGTGGATATTTTATAAGCTGTGGCCTTCCGCTTAAACTAAACTACCCAGGCAGACTTGCTCAGATTTGATTAAAATATTTGAGGAAGTATATATTTATAGACTTACAGACCTTTGAGGAAACACATATTTATGAGGTTATACATTTTTTTGCAAGAACTATAATTTTGTGAGGTTTCAATCGAAAAGAATTTCAAATCAAGAAAAAAAGAAGAGGGCAATACATTTTCTTGGAGAGATGACTTGAGCCACCGTTCTTTGAAGAATTGGGCACTGCTAGGCTCGCAAGTCAAAACAATTACTCACCGCTGAAATTTCAATTTAATTAATGACAAAAAAAATACAGGCGTTAACAGGGAGGGAAATGTGTATATACTAAATACAGGCATCATAAAATATTTTTTTTTATTATTGCAAGGCAACCAATTGTGTAATAAGGCTCATAGAATATAATGTGTAGTGAAATATATTTTTGCACCATCATGAAAAAGATTGTTATGGCATAAATACAATAAAGCTAAAGGCGATCAGTGCTTTGACATGGGGTAGGCAATATTGGTTTGAAAATTTAAACAGAATGAAATGAGCCTAAAAGGTTTGTCTTGTTCAGGGTGCTATCGATTATCGAATTAAGGAAGGTTTACGAAAAGTTTGCTCGGAAATGGTTTCAAACGTATTTGCCGTACTAATTTTAATTTTTATTTAAGCTATTATTCTTCAGTAAGTTTGTTAATTGCTAAAGTATCAAGTTTCAATAAAACACAAAAAAATAATAATAGTAATAAATGAACATCTTGGGTATCTGGAAGAATTTCGAAGTAAAGTTTATGTATTATTTCACATCATAAAATAAGCACAACGGCACTATAATACAAAACTAGACATTATTCTTTACCAGTAAATATTGCGAAATTAACATATATATTTAGCAATGACTGCGTTGTAAGTTAGAGCAATCCAACCTCGCTAAATCAGTTTTGAAAGAGCCTCCATGTTCTCACCTACCAACAAACCTACTTAAGTCTTCATGTCCTCACCTCGCAGCGAGCTGTTAGTTGAGCACTCCCTCTGCTTTCGCAATGTCTTCCGATGGCATTCTTTTCCTCAATGTACGAGTAACTCACGAAGACATGGTCATTAGGACATGCTGCAGAAACCCGATGATGATGGGTTTGAACATCCAACGTCTTTATTGCAGTTCCTCAATTAGTGTCTTTGCTAAATGCAGTTTCGTAAATGATAGTAACGAAACATACTGATGTGTATTTTTAGTAAGGGAAAAACATAGTTGCAAGATTTTGCAATTTTTATGATAGAAAATTCAAAGATTAAGTATACATGTAGAAATGACGGGGTTGAAATGATCGGTCGTGTTTTCCTCGTTGATCTTTTGCAGCTTCGCCCGAATCATTACAAGACTTTCTTTTCGTGTTGTAGCCGTCCTGATGTGATGACATGAGATGGAGTTGAAAGTTTATTTCTCACATTTCCTACACTTGAATTGTTTTCCCTTGATCGACTATTCTTTTTTATTCACGATCTTGCTGTTTGGACGATTTCCTGGAAACGTTTAGACAATTTCAAACGGCTTATTCTGAATTGCAAGACGGCAAAAGAATCGAAAAAATGGAGTAATACTGTTTTCCTCTGACCCCTTAATTAATTTCACCTTTACCTCTTCTTGGATTTTATCAAACTTTTTTTACTCAATTTAATATCCTTCAAATCGTCAGCATACCTATTCATAGGTACTTTACCATTCAGATTAAAATATTTTTGTGTACGGAGTATTTTTCTAATAAAGCACTGCAATAATAATAGAGAAACAAAATTATTAGATCTAAAGCTGCTATCGATATGATTTATAATTTATTTTTATTTATTTATTGAATTTATGATTTATTGATATAAAATTGAGGCCAGGCACTCATTACTTAGTGGTTAGAGGCCACGAATCACTAAATGAGGAAATGCAATTCCCTTGAAACAGCCACGGGACACAATTGTAGCCTCCTGTACATTTATTAGCTGGGAAACGAATTTAGCAATGTAATTATCCCGAAATATAGGAAATGACGATGCTAATGATAGATGAACTGACCATCTTAACATTGAAGCGACGCGTTTAGGAATGACGACAAAATAACTAAGCTCGTATGGCTTGAAAGACATTGTTGTAATTACTGAAGGAACTGCAGAATCGTTTAACCCACGCAGCATTTTTTGGGTCAGAAACATTGCAGAAAGGCTTTAAAATATATATTCCATTGAGTTGCACTTTAATTCACAAAGGATAATAGTCTTCAACAAGGCGTGGATGTTCCCTCACCCCAGGTTGCGATTTGCATGACAATCCTCGAAAAATAATATATTTCTCTACTCTTCCTAAAAACAGTCTCAATGAAAAAGAATTATAAAATTTATGATTGATTTAAATTACTCTTAATAAATTTGTATATTCTGATGAGTTTACTGTATTAATCAACTGAATCAGGGCAACCAATAGATCCCCATTTTAAAAGTTGTTTTCTATCTTGATCAGTTCAACATTTATTTTGCAAACCTTATAATTATAAAAAATAATAATTAAAATAAAAACCATATCCATCCGATTATTAGGACTATAGGAGCATACTATCTACTTCGATTGTGGGGCAATAGAATCTCATCCTCCCCTCCCTCCCCCCCCAAAAAAAAAACAAGTCTCGGGAATTTATATCATGTATGAAAAGTGATAATTAACACAATCAACATGACTATTGTAAAACGAACAATACAATACTATACATATTTTTTTTACTTATGGAAATAAATACGTAACAAAGCAATTGAATTTATTACGTGTTTTTTTTATTTGAAGATTTGAGACAGTGAGATGAACTCTCAATTCTCCGATTCTTCAAACTTGGAGCGGGAAATGTGATACAATATTCATGTAACAATAGAAGGGCGCACCTGAATGAATAATAAAATGATAGGATATGTTCCTACATTAAAACAATTATGTTTGAATATAAACTAAAATTTCAATAATAGAGTGGCAGGACATGGTAAAATGCTTACGTACCTATCTCCAGGCCTTAGCTTAGCCACCTAGTCGACTTTTCATATTTTATTCATTTATTTAGATCAATTTTTATTTTCATTCGTTGAAATATTGGGGGAGCGAAACGATATTCTCTCTCCCTCTATAATTTTAACAGGGAGAGGCGTTGTCCCCCCCCTCCGAAATCTGAACCTATGGTTGGAAGGATTGTTTTTAAATATGTTTTTAACAGGGGTGGATCCAGATGTAGTTTTTGGGAGGGGAACTATCGGTGACCAGAGAATCGAGAAGAAATATTACCTTTTCTATGGAAGAAACTGTAATAAAACTACTATCTAACGTTTATTTTATTTCGAACTATTTAAAATCGATTTTTGTTGGCATAAACAAGGTAATCAATTTCATTGATAAATCAAAAACAATCAATTTCTCAGTCAATTTTTAATTTTCCCCCTTTTAAATGAATTATGGTTTATTCATGAGTATTGCTGGTATTAGGAATATTTAAAACAGTGGTATATTTTTTCTTAGTGCTTATATTAGTAGGGAAATTTTTCATTTTTTCTTCTCCCGTTGACTCGCCTCAGGGATTTAACCTAGGACTCTTAATTATTGTAATCTTCATACATTTATTCCTTGCAACCCTATATTTCCCTTATTATGTTGTGATGAACTTAATATCAATCCACAACGAAGGTCACATATGGATAGAAGAGATAAAAATGTACATCTAGCTACAATGTTGCTCATAGCAGGGAAGCATCGGATATGGTTAACTGAACTAACATCGTAAATAATTGGGGGCCTAGTTATAGCATTTCAAATTATTATAATTATTTCAAGCTAGTTAATTTGTTTTTAAAGTATTATAATTATTGTTTAATTCTTATTCATTTCTCATTCTAGTTTTAAATTGATTTAAGAGCAATCATTTTCCATGAAATATGTTACGCTAAAATAAATATATATATGGTTACACTGCAGTGCAAAATTATTACTGTAGCATTAATTGAATTAGACATATCGTTAAAAACTGAGATTTACCGGTTTTGATAGGGGTGAGAGAATTAGTTACACAACTTATTACAAAATATCAACCTTTAAATGTATATATAATTATATCTGTATAATATATAGAATTATCGTTTAGTAATAAAGACAACCAAAATAACATAGAAACTATAACAAATTATTTTTAAAAAATGTATTTTTATTTTATATAAATTTCAAATTAACCTAATGTGAAGGACCTCCAATGTAAAAACTTCAGTAAGGAGTATATTTTAAAGATATTTAAATTAAGCTAGTTTATTATAATTGAAGAAAATTAAACTGAGCACATTATGAATAAGATCTAAGTTAAAACATTGAATCATAATATCCATTTTGATTGTTAAAATATAATATTTAATACTCTCAATAGTGAAATAGTGAAAATAAGAATTTATAAGTGAAAATTGTATATATATATATATATATATATATATATATATATATATATATATATATATATATATATATATATAGTTTCTGATCAAAATACTTTTACAGTTGTTACAGGTTGCACAGACGGCATTGGACGTGCATATGTTGAAGAACTAGCCAAACGTGGTTTAAATATTGTTCTAATCAGCAGAAATAAAGAAAAATTAATTCGAGTAGCCAACGAAATAGGTATGTGAACTTTATGTGATTTAATTAAATAAATTCAATAAAATAAACAATAGTTTCATAGGCAATGGGTTTTCCGAAAAATAAAGAATAATTTCCTGATTACACTATGATGTTATATAATTACTTCAAAATTCACTATTTATAATTATTGTCAATGGATACTCATCACATTCATCATTTAGAGTGAAATATATCTAAATCGATTTTATGTGCTTCTGATTTTCAGTATGTTTATCTAATTTTATTGCAATGACTTGTATCATGGAGGTCGTGGGTGTGATAATTCCTTAATATTGCGTATTTGCTTATAAGGTATAGGTATCCAGGAAACAGACAGACAAGGATGAACTTTTGAATAACTATCTGGTAATTCAGGGGGATCAGCCATCGACTTGAGCATCCTTGAGGAAGTAGAGTACCGGAGGGTTCCTTAATGATGATAGTATGAGCCTTCAGGCGTTACCACAAACGGAGGGATGATCCTCCTGGTTCCATAACGATAGGTATAGTTCAAGAAGAACAATCAGCCTCCATATCTTGTGGACACGAGTTGAGGGATGAACTTCTTGTAGATATAAACGGGTGAGATGAGCCCCACCACACTTTGTGGTTGAAAAAATACAGTCTGGGATGTACTTACCCATTTCATAATCGATAAGAAATAAGAACTACAAGTGCATTAAGAAACATAAGCAATGAAGTTCTGGTAGAAATTTAGCTCTGTCCAAAAGGGATGAGACTAAGCTGGGAGAGAGCTTGACAACAGAAAACTGGCAGTTTCCTAAAAATACCTTCATTTTACAACGTCAAGAACATTGTTTAAGTGTTAAATACACAATAAATTGATATGTACTATGTTAAATTAAAATTATCATAAATATGTATGTTATTTATGTCGCTTATTTCCTAAGTGAACTCTATTGGATATACGAAAATCGAAATACGTGTCAATTTCTATGTGAAAATTCCCAAAGAATCCGATGGTTTAATTATTTTGTTTAAAAAACAAAGCTCAATATTATTTTTTGAAATTCCAAAACCTGTTTTTTTTTGTTTGTTTTTTTAAGGAATGTAACAATACTTTTCTTAAATATAATATAATAAGCACTTCTTAAATGTTTTAAAACAGAAGAATCATAAAAGTTTTTTTTAATTCTTTTTGTTAGAATAAAAATAAAAAATAAACGTATTTAATTGTACCATTATTGTAAACAAAAAGTTAAATTTTTATAGTACGATTTTAATAAATTTTTCTATTTGAATCATAGACCATTTTTTTCTCTCCGAAACAAACCCCGACTGCCTTTTTTTTTTTTTTTTGTTCAAAACGAGCTTTGATGTTTAATTCATTCCAAAAGCTGCTCTATTTAAGTTTCAATGTTTTTTTCATTACACTTAAAATAATCAGTGATTTTTGGCAATATGTACAACAGGTAATGAATTTGTTAATTTATTATTTAAAAAATATTGGTTTTGACATAACCATTGAAATAGAAAATATAGTTTTGGATTGACATTAGCAATAAACGATTCATTTTTATATAGCATCTGTTAGGATATTGTTGGGGGATTTACCGGTAAACGTTTTACTAATTCACGCATCACCAAGATTGAAAGACGTAACATGAAGTAAATGTTATCGAAACAGTACAACTCATATCAATACTTTAAAAAAGGCAGAGCAAAGGGGTAACATCACTCCAAAACTGTTGAACAAACAATATTCTATGATCAAGATATATTTTTTATTTGTATTTTAATATATCTATAACTGATTTGGAATGATGTACCATCTTTATTTGGTTAGTCTTTTTTTAGGAAAACGTTGACCGATTTGGTATTTACGGCTTTTTGAGAAACTTAAGGATTTGATATGGAATCCTCTGATATATTCTAATAGCTTGTTTATTTACAGTTTTTTTCACTCTTATTAATGTATTACTTTTATACTGTATTACAGAATCAAGATATCAAGTAAAAACAAAAATAATTACGGTCGACTTCAGCAAAGGGCAATCAGTATTTTACCAGATTGAAGCGGAAATTAAAGGAATCCCTATCGGAATTCTAGGTAATTTCAAATATCCCATCACATGATTGTATGTGCATAGATATGCTACCTGTTCAAAGGTTTGTGAAAAGTTTCTGTTCTGTTGTCAATTCATTTATTTATTTCATTTTTTTTTTTTTTAGTCAATAATGTTGGAAAACAGTACACATACCCAACGTACCTGACAGAGGTTCCAGAACAGGAGTTATGGGACATAATAAATGTGAATATAGGAGCCACAACTATAATGACGAAAATGATACTGCCTCAAATGGTAGCGAGGAAGCGTGGTGCGATAGTCAATGTATCTTCGTCTTCTGAACTTCAACCTCTTCCTCTGATGACTGTTTATGCCGCAACAAAGGTTAGAAACCAACCAGTAGACCAGGAGTCCCCAAACCTTTTGGCCAGAGGGACACATTGAGACATCCACTAGCCGGCCATAGATTGTGATGAAAACGTTTGTTCTATAAATGACACCGTGTCATTCAGTCTTTTTTAGAGAGGCAACTCATGCAATAATTTTCAGTAACCGCATGTTGAGTGAATAACTTTTTTTTTCATCCTACCTAGCCTTTTCTGGCATACGGTTTTTATCAGCAGCAGCGGTATTTCACATGGGGTCTGCGCATCCCACTACCGCCATTGAGTGAATAACTAAATTTAATTTTTTTTTTAAATATTATGTTTTCAAGGTTTACCATGTAATCAGAGATACTTTCGAGGCCCGTAATTTGAATATCCCTGCTATAAACTATAGCAGTTTTTTTTTTTTTAATTTCTTTATTGAGTATTATAACAATCTGTCTGTTCGACATTGGTTATAGTGAGGTAGGATGACATTCACACCATATGTACAAAAAAAAAAAAAAAAAAAAAAAAAAAAAAAAAAAAAAAAAAAAAAAAAAAAAAAAAAAAAAAAAAATTTAAAAAAAAAAAAAAAAAAAAAAAAAAAAAAATAGCAGTTTTTAAATCAAAAATATTTACCGTCTAAACGGTATTTTAAATATTTTCTAGGATGGCCTTATTTATTTTTATTATCATCTCTTATTCTACACATAGCTATTCATTTCCATGTCTCTGCTAATATAATAACCTCACATGCTTCATCAACACCTGGCCTCTAATAACCATTATTCTTAAATTACTCGAAAATCCATTACTTTTCTCAAACAGTTGCTAAGATTTCGTCATTCTATGCCACCGAAATCCTGCCAGTCCCTAGTTTTTTCCCCCAATTCCAACTCATTTTGATTACGACTGCGTTGAATATGTTTTATAATCTGGTAGTCATGACGAGGGAATGAAGAGACTATTTATTAAATTATTTTATGATATATCTAATTAAGATAGTTTTATCCCATTTTCCAACAGTAATACCACATTAGTAGCAACATTTTCTAAGTTCTCACAACCATAGGTGGATCTGCGAAGGTACTTTCGGGCTGAAGCTTCTCCCTCCCTCCATCCCAAAGTGATAAAATATAAACATGTTTTATGAAAAAAAATTATGTATAAAAGTATTTTTGTTCGTCTAAATACTTAATTAATAAATTAATTACGTAATTTAATATGACTTAAAGAATCTCTTAAATGCCATTTCATGTAGATAGTTAGTTTCTTTCTTTCTTCCAAAGTAATTATCCAAATTCAATTCATCCAAAAAAAAAAAACTTTAGGGCTGAAGCTCCCTACCCAAAATTAAATCCTGGATCCGTTAGTGCTCACAACCAATGAAAACAAAAAAACCTCTTATCGGCATGGTTCCCAAGACATTGTGAGATTATAACTTTGAAGTAACACGATCTTCTGGTAATGCAGATATGCTATAACCACTCCTAAACCGCTAATCCTGATCACGAAACCATATTGGGAAAATGAAATATTTTCAGTTTGTTTAATTTTTTTTCCCCTATAATTACCGTGAATGCAGGTTGATATGTCACAACCTGTAAAAGTGCCCACAGTGAGAATAAAATAACGCATGATGGGATACTCTTTATGTAGTTGAGTTCGTAGAACATGTTTCGAACAGTTCTTAAGATTTTGTTCTTCTATGACACCAAAATTCTCTCAATTCCGAGTCTTCTCCTTCCATTTCTAACCCATTTTGATTATGACTACAATGAATATGGTCGATTGTCTGGTAGTCATGAGAAGAGACGGAGGAGAATACTTACTGCATTATTTCATGATAAGTTATCAAGTTATTTAATCAAGGTGTTTTTAACTCATGTTTCCGAAAGCTATTCTTAAATAGCGCCATTAAAAAAATGTGATTTGAGTGCTTTCCCCTAAAATGAACCGTAACTTTAAAAATATTGACTCTACAGTCATGAGAGTGGTCTAAATCATTTTATAAACCAAAATATTATAATAATTGGTACATTAATGGACTCGATTTGAACATATAATTTTGTAAATATAACGTCAAGCATGAAAAGACAAGACCTTATGCAGGAAATGTGTCCGTGGTCTGAGGGTCAGGGAGACTCCTGCCTTAGATAATAAAATTTTAAATAAATGAATTTTAAGTAATATATATTTCTTTGTTGCAGGTTTTCGTCAAGAGCTTTTCTGAAGCGTTGCGCGTTGAATATCAATCTGAAGGAATTACGATACAACACCTGTCACCGTTTTTCATCAAAACAAAAATGAATGCTTTCAGTTATCGTCTCCAAGAAAGTTCATTGCTTGTTCCTGATGCGGAAACGTATGCCAAAAATGCAATTAATACGCTAGGACGAGTCAATCATACAACTGGCTACTGGGTCCACGGTCTTCAAGTAATCCATTCAGATTCCATTTTTGAATTACAAAATCATTAATATATTAACGTTTGATGGCCACAATAATGTAAAAAATATTACTTTCCTCTGAGGTACAAAAATGTTCTTTGGGGATGGGAGTAGTTTCTCACTTCTTTTTTCACAGCCTCAAATCAGACTTACAGAATAATGACAATAACAATACTCATATAATTCTATAGCGTCTTATTTTTTAAATTTTAATTGTCCCAAACCTCCACGAAACAAGCAGTGACGGTGAAGTGATAAGTATCAGTTTGGCAACAATTAAGAGTATAGAGGTCAGCAGTAAGATGTTCCCGCACAGAGACATCGACAAGTACACCTGGGTTAGCTCTTAAACTGCTAAAACCCAAATCTACCATGTTCTGAAGAAAAAGAGGCATCAAAGTTCAACGCAAGAAATAAAAAGCTATTGTGGAGGGGACTGTGATTCAGACCACACTCCGATCTAAATCTAGGCCGAAGCTAATCCATCAAATAGAGAACTTTTTGGCAAGAATACGATATGAAGTCTTTAATTAGAAAAAGTATAGGCTGCATTTCAAATCAAGCCGAAAAATAAATCCAAACTCTTAAACACGTCGAGCTATTATACTAGAGTCAAGGCTAAAACCAACAGCTAAGGAAGTAATACGGACTGAGAAGAAAAAAATGAAGAAATGGTTCACAGAAGCATGGAAAAAGGTGGTAGAATAAAAACAAAATTAAAAGTTCTCTAATTAGCTAAAACTAATCACACAAACAAATACACAGCCATTAGGAAAAATAAAAATAAAATAATAAGAACAGCAAAAAGAGAATTCTTCAAAAAAACATTGCTAATTATTGAGTGAAACTGGCAGGCTGGAAATATATTCAAATTCTTCACAGATATTCACACACACACGCACGCGCACACATATACACATATATTTTTTTTTTATTTATTCTATGCCTTGATCGTCTTGAGCCGTTTCGGCCATGCGACGTATAGCAGCTCTGTAAACTTCACCTTTAGTCCTGGCTTTGGTTCTAATGTCCTGTTGTCCGGGGATACTAAGAAGATCCAGAGCTGTCTTGGATTCATTTCAACAGAATGGGCATGGTGCTGATTTGGCAACTCCAATACGGTGGAGGTGGCTTTGGAGATATTCATGTCCAGTCTTCATTCGAAACCGTGCAACGGTCTCACTTCTAAGGAGATTTATTGTCACTCATCCATTTTCATCTAGTAATGAAAACTATGGCTTATCCTTTAATTCCAATCGCCATTTCTGTTTCAATCCTCCTTTTATTAATGCTTTAATTATATTTTTTACAGTCAAGAATGGAATTGGTATACCTGGTTGATCTTTTCCTGCGTCTTCTTTTGCTAATTGGTCAGCTTTCTCATTACCTGTCAACCCACAGTGTCCTCGTATCCACTGTAAAACGACATCTATGCCTTCTAACATTAGCTGTTGAATCAATTCCTGGTACTTAATAATTTGGTTTTAGGAACAGCAGGAAGCATCTGAAATTGCAATTATTACAGCCTGGGAATCAATTAGGACTACAATTTTTTGCGGTTTAAACTTTTTTATCAGTTCCAAGTTGAGAAGAACTGCTTTTACTTTGTTATCAAAGTTACTTGCTAGGCTCTGAGATTTGGAAACCTGCATAAACATTAGCTCCTCCATCTTTTTTTTGCCATCTGTTACACATGTAACCATGTGAGAGTGGGGTACCTCTCTTTTATAGTTTCAAGCGCTTAATTCTTCAGTTCCACCTTAGAGCAGTATTGCTTTTTTATTGGCTCTACGAGCTGTAAGTTGATGTCTGCTGATTTTGTAGAGAGCCTTGGTGGGAACATAATGAAATTTTCTCTAGAAGGCATATATAGATATGACTCCTCATATAGATTAGACTACCTATAACTTGAATTTACATAATTCTACCTTTCTTAATTTTTCAAGTCGTACTTGTGCGAATTTAACCTATGAACGGTATTGACTGCAGTGTGTACTTAGTTATGACTTTTTCTTGAGCAACAGTTGTTTAAGGTGAATTACTACAGCCGGAGTATCAAATTTATAGAGCATGAGTGTGTTCCAGGAGGGTCTACAAAATCATTAGAGCTGATCCATGACTGATAACACAGAATAAATAATTATCTACCAAAGACGAATTTGAACCTGAGTACAGAAGAAATAAATTAAGATTTGCTTCATATTAATTTATAACTGATACTGACTAATTACAGATTTTATGTAATTTTGGTTATATCAGAGTGTAACATTTTGCAGTAAAAAAATCGAAGATTAAAATAAATAAAATAGTTATGATTCTAATTATTTTATTCATTTATTTTCTTTTGTGACCTACATATTTGAGAATTGGGTTGAAGGAGAGTAATCCTTTATAAACAGTTTCATTTTATTTCCATACTCAAAAGTACTTTTTTTAAAAATTATAATTTAAACTATTTCCTAATGTTTTCTTTTTCTTTTTTCAGTATTTCTTCACCATGATTCCTCCGATGTGGATAAGGACTTACATTGGAGCCTTCATGAATCAAACATTTAGAAAAGACTACTTGTACAATAACAAATCTGTGTCATTTTTATAGAAAGACTTATTTCCATAGAATAAGTCTGTTTTTTATATGTGACTGATTTTTAATTTATATATACCTATATTTATGTAAATGTTGTTTAATTACATTTAAGGGTTAGAAAATCTAACTGTTTGTAATTAAATAAATTATTATTATTATAAATGTTCAATTAAATAGTTTGTAATATTGTCAACATATATTTTTAAGATTTAAACTAATGAAAGAAAAATGTGTGGAGTAGTTACTAATCTTTTAGGTATATATTTTTTTATTTTAAAAGATTTATGAACAAAATGTGTTCAAATATTTGATTTTCTTAGAATGATATTTTCCAGGATCCATTTCTTTAAAGTGCTTATCAGAGAATACATAATTTAATCTCAAATATTATAAATTGTTTCAATATTAATTGATAAGTTTATATATTTATGTCACTGCCTTTTTCTATTTTGATCTCATTAGAGGAAGTGCAACTAAAAACTTTATGTAGATATACTAAAGTAAATTAACTTCACTTTTTAAAAAGTTAAATGAATATTGAGTTTTCATAAAATGATGTGTACAATATTGTTTTTTAATACAACTTGAATAATAAAACATTTATCATTAATACTTGCATTGTGTTCAACCATCAACTGACATTCCATTCATTTAACCCAAGAGTCTCCAAACTTTTTGGCCCAGGGGCCATATAGAGACCTCGACTAAGTTCCGCGGGCTGCATTGAGACTTGCACTGAAGGCCATGCTTAGTGATGAATAAGATATTTTTATTTGTTACATAAGTTCTGTTGTTTTTATAGGAAAAAGGTACCCAGTGATTTCTTATTTTAACTTCTTTCACTTAATGTCCACTTTTTCCATTAGAAAATATGGTCGCTTTAACTGGTATCCTTAAACTCCCAACAGGTCTATTTTAAGTTATTTTTTTTCTGTCACTAATCACCTCAGATACTTTAATTCATCACAGTTACAAACATTTTCTTCTCCTAATTCAACAGTTTCTCTTCTCTCTCTCCGCGGGCTGCATTGAGACTTGCACTGAAGGCCATGCTTAGTGATGAATAAAAATATCTTGTTGTATAAATGACACTTCAGCTGTGAAATGAGCGTTCTAAAAGAAAAAAACCCATGCATTAAATGTTGTGACATATTCAAATGTTTATATCTCATTTTGCTTATATTTTAAGTGGTATTACTATTTATTTTATTTTATTTTTTTAACCTTCTTTATATTATAAAAATAAGATGGGCAGAGAAAAATACAAACTTGCTCTTAAATTCCAAAAACAATTCCCAAATTTTAATTTAAAAATTCAGGCAATCATTATTTAAATAACTGTTAATTTTGAAAAAGCGAAAAAATTATGTTTTATGCATATTTATTAAAATAGAAATTTACTGTGTTAAAAAAAAAATATATATCATTAACAATTTTTTTTTCACTTATCTATATGTGAAATATATAATAAGGACAAGTATTATGATATTGATTTTATTTTTATGATTATTTAAAAATAAATTTCATCTTCTATAATGAAACTTGTAAGGCTGTTATTTTATTTCTGATTGTTGATATATATTCTGAATTTTGTTACATAAGTTCTGTTGTTTTTATAGGAAAAAGGTACCCAGTGATTTCTTATTTTAACTTCTTTCACTTAATGTCCACTTTTTCCATTAGAAAATATGGTCGCTTTAACTGGTATCCTTAAACTCCCAACAGGTCTATTTTAAGTTATTTTTTTTCTGTCACTAATCACCTCAGATACTTTAATTCATCACAGTTACAAACATTTTCTTCTCCTAATTCAACAGTTTCTCTTCTCTCTCTCCGCGGGCTGCATTGAGACTTGCACTGAAGGCCATGCTTAGTGATGAATAAAAATATCTTGTTGTATAAATGACACTTCAGCTGTGAAATGAGCGTTCTAAAAGAAAAAAACCCATGCATTAAATGTTGGGACATATTCAAATGTTTATATCTCATTATGCTTATATTTTGCTTCTCTCTCTCTCTCTCTCTCTCTCTCTGTCTCTGTCTCTGTCTCTGTCTCTGTCTCTGTCTCTGTCTCTGTCTCTGTCTCTGTCTCTGTCTCTGTCTCTCTGTCTCTCTGTCTCTCTGTCTCTCTGTCTCTCTGTCTCTCTGTCTCTCTGTCTCTCTGTCTCTCTGTCTCTCTGTCTCTCTGTCTCTCTGTCTCTCTGTCTCTCTGTCTCTCTGTCTCTCTGTCTCTCTGTCTCTCTGTCTCTCTGTCTCTCTGTCTCTCTGTCTCTCTGTCTCTCTGTCTCTCTGTCTCTCTGTCTCTCTGTCTCTCTGTCTCTCTGTCTCTCTGTCTCTCTGTCTCTCTGTCTCTCTGTCTCTCTGTCTCTCTGTCTCTCTGTCTCTCTGTCTTTTTTTTTTTTTTTTTTTTTTTTTTTTTTTTTTTTTTTTTCCCTTCTTTCCCCCCGCTGTACCTTAGGGCAACCCTATACCAGCGGTACATCCAATTTTCTAACTGAAAAATATGCCACGAATTTAAAGGGCTCGGTCACCAGGATTGGTAACCAAGCGGGCAGGTCTGCTCTCACTTTGATCCAAATTCTTGGGTCAAAGTGAGGCAAAATTCGGTCTTTTAGTTTGATTGGGGCATTAATTATTACGGGTAAACCTACACTAATGGGCTGCCTGCAACTGGAGGGCTGTTCCCACCAAACAGGACTCCAGTAACTTCCTACCTACTTATTGTGGGCCTATTACTAAGTTTATATATACTATTTCTAAATCTTATGATAACAATAAATGTATGTATTTGGTATATCACCGGTTTATTCTTTCCTCTCTTGCTATTTTTTCATGGAATATCCTCCTGGCGTATTTCTTAAAGGCATCAAATATCTCAGGTGTCTCCACAAGCTTGTCCAGAGACTGAGGAGGCCATTCCAACATGGAGTACTCTCCTGCCAATGCTTGTCGGGCGCCAGTGTACATTGGACATTCCAAAATTATGTGTCTAGCGTCCTCAACAGCCCCGCAGTGACAATTCGGACTGGCTCTTCTATGAAAAAAATGTAATTTTTCATTTATGTCTCCATGGCCTGTGAGGAGTTGAACTGTCCAGAAATCCGTCTCCACCCAGTCATTCTTGATTCTTCTCCTGACATCTGGGAAGAACTCATGGGTCAGTCTTCCAGTCTCGCATGCATCCCACCTTCTCTGCCATTCAGAAAGGACTAGTTCTTCTATTCTGTTGGCCACCTCGTCGTACCTTCCACTAGGGCACACAAAACAGCTTGTTCCCACATTTGCTGGCACTCCTCTCTTTATTCTATATTTGGCTATAGATATTTGTATTTTCAGGTCTATAGGCAATTGTCCTGTAATTACTTGCAAAGCCGAAGTGGGTGCCGTTCTGTACGCTCCTGTCACCAGTAGGAGAGATCTTCTTTGAGCTTGCTCCAGCACACTGATGTCTGACTGTCTCAGTTTCTGGCCCCAGACCGGCGCCGCATACAATGCAATAGGCAAGAAAGAAGCCTTATATAGGGTTTCCCGGTAACCATATTTGAGACCCCAGGTGGTCCCCGCCATCGTTTTAAGGCAACTGTAACGGACAATAGTTTTGCTCTTAATTTCTTTTAGGTGGTTAGTGAAGTTACACCTCTCGCCCAATAGGACTCCTAAGAACTTCACTTCCTGAGATGGTTTTATTAGGACATCTCCTAACTTTACTCTGGGGAGAAACCCTACCATTTTTCCCTTCAAAAACAGGAGTCGAGTCTTCCGAAAATTTAAAGAGAGTTTATTTTCCTGGCACCATTGCAAGATTATGTCAGTGACTTCCGCTGCCCTTATTTCCAAATCTTGTCGTGATTTTGCCTCTATTCCAACAGCAAAATCGTCCACGTAAGCAGATGGCGTATACCCGGCAGCTCTCAATTTAACAAGGAGAGGGTTCATGTTGATATTCCATAGGGGGAGTCCCAAAACTGATCCCTGAGCACAACCCCTCTGGACTGGCCTCGTTATTCTCCTTCCCGGAAGTTGATAGTAGACAGAGCGCCCCGATAAAAATGATAATATGAGCCTGTATATATTTCTGGGGCATTTTAGTTTCTTTAGCTCGTCCATAATAGCAGGCCACCACATATTATCGAACGCGCCAGCAACATCATAGAAGAGGACTACAAAATATTTATAGGGCGAGTCCTTAGCTGTTGATATGAGCTGGTTGATGGCATCCGTTGTCGACTGTCCTTTTCGACCTCCGAATTGATCAGGAGAGAGCAAATCGGTCACGTCTTTTAGGCGTTGCAGCATTAGGCTTTCCAGAACTTTCCCCATTACATTTAGGAGGCATATTGGGCGGTAAGATTTAGCAGTGACTTCTGTTATACCGGGCTTCAAGATAGTAACCAGCTCAGCCTGTTTCCAGATACAGGGGAAAATGCCTTCATTGAAGCATCGGTTGTAGAACGTAGTTAAAGGCTTAATCAGTGCGTTTTTTGTATTTCTAAGGATATCAGCTCCTATCATATCCGGTCCTGGTGCCTTTCCCGATCGGAGTTGTCCTATAGCCAACCTCACGTCTTCCTCTTCCCATGAAAGCGCATCTTCGGTTTGCGGAAGTTCACACATTGCAATTCTTTTGTGAGCATGGTCTTCTGTGTCCGAAGTTAGTTCGTCTTCAGGGAAAGATCTCACCATTATAGCATTAACAACCTCATCTGCCGTTCTGGTTGCATCCCCATTATGCATAAACGATGTGAAGGAGTTTCTATTTGAGATTTTATCAAGGGCTCTCCGATAGGCTAGTCCCCAAGGGCTTTTGCATTGGTCTAGGTATCGGTGCCATGTCTCTTTCTTTGCTTTTTCTATTGCCTTTTGGAAACTCTTATTAAGTTCGTAATATGCTTTTTTGACATTTCTTTTGGTAACAGCATCGTTTTCTCGCTGAAATCGGCGTCTTGCTCTGTACGTCTCCCGCTTCAGGCTTGTGAGTTGTGTGTTCCACCATACTTGTCCATTTCTTATTGACTCTCGTGTTATGGGCAACACCTCCTTAACCGCTGTGAATATTTCTGTTGAAATTTTCGCTGCCTCTTTTTCTAATTCCATATGATGGTGTTGCTCCAGCTCTGTTAGGTGCCATGCAATATTCTCAGCAACACGCTCCCACTCAGCTCCCTCCGTCACAAAACGTTCCTTATGGTATCGCTTTTCTCGATTGTTTAGGTTTATTTCAAATAAAACCACCCGGTGATCACTGCAGGTCCAATCCTCGACTTTCCAAAAGCTAATAAGCTGGCCAATGCCAGGTGATGCCAGAGTTATATCGATAAATGATTCTCCGCTGGATCCCGAAAACGTTGGCAAGGCCGTGGGATCATTTACAATGGTTAGGCCATTCCTTGCAGCAAAATCCTCCAGCAATACTCCTTTTCTATCGGTTCTTCGGCTGCCCCACAAAATTGAGTGAGCATTAAAATCGCCCATTATTAAGATGTTCTTACTCAGCTGCCGTACTACCAGCTGCAATTTTGTCAGTATGTCTTCCAGTGAGAGTGCGAATTTTGCATAAACATTGATCAAGTCAAAGTTAATGCCTACGTAATCTACATTGGCAACTGAA